CTTGTCGCAACCTAATCACTTGCCTGCACCCAGATCCGCCACCATAATTCTTCCAAAATCGACTGCGTATCCTGGATTTAAGATCCTCCCAGTCTTTGATCTTCACACGATCCTGCAACCATCGGGTCCAAGTGAGCGCCAATCCCTTCATCGATGTTATGGCCATCTCCACTTGTCTTTCTTCTAGCGTTTGATTCATCTTGAAACACTTGTCCACTCGATAAATCCAATCATCAGGGTTTTCACCATCAAAATCAGGTATAGTAACTGCTCGGCTTGGTGAATCGAGTTTTCCTTCTGAGGTTGTGGGTGATAATCCATCAGTTTTCCTAGCTGGAACAGTTAACATCGGTAGAGGTAAGAGACCGGATCCCTTATCATTCACTGATCTACTTCCTGAAAACTGAGTCGTGGGTTTCGAACCGCTTTCTCCAACGTCTTAATTCATCAGTTTATCCAACGCCTCTGATACTCTTGCGTCACGTTCACTGAGCTGCTGTTGGGTTCTTTTCAGCTGCGCCAACGCCTCTGCGATCTCTTCATCACTGCTGACATGCGCGTGTTTGCTCTTGGCGTAGATCTGACACACTAGATCCGAGCTTCTCCAAGATCTGAGTCATCTTCCCTGCCTTTCTCTGCGCGTTCATTGTAGACTTACTGTCTACTTTTTTTTTTGCTAAGAATGTTAATATCATTAATATGAAATGTTTAGTTGTTACAAAGGACAACCAACTTCTTTGTTTCCTCGGCAAAAATAAATAAAAAACAAGGAAACAATATTACACGGGAAGGTACAAGTCGAATCTATGTGACTACCGAAGCCATAACAACATTAAGTTTCCAAAATGTCGCTTGCTCCTTTTCGCGTTGATGATGTTAATGATGTCTCTGTCAATTCTTTTGAACAAGGGATTGATCTAAGAATATCAGACCCTGGGTTGTGGAGTACCTGGTTTCTCACAATCCAAATGTGGTAGATTGTTGCTTGCGCCGCAAGCTTAGGCAGGAGAGTTGGCGCTTGAGGTGAGGAAGATCGAATCCAAGACAACAACTCACGCCAAGAACGCAACATGTGCTGTGACGGACCAAGTCTTCCAATAACCTGTCTCCAAATGTGAGTAGAAAAGTCACAAGTTAAAAGGAGGTGGCCCCTTGACTCATCGACTCTAGAACAGAGACAACAAACCGTTGGCCACTGAAGCAGCTTTCACGGTAGGGGATGGCTTCTCTGGGTTTGCCGGAGCACTCGCAGAAGCCGGCTTTAAAGTTTCCTCATCTGGAATAGTTGATTTCGCAACTTTCACAGATACACTATTTAGGTCGGAGCTGGGCTCAATTATATCGCCCTGAATCAAAAGATCCGGAGCAGTCGCTAGCATGGAAGTCTGATTTAAGGGGCTTCGGGGTCCTCAGCACCGAACAACGCAGACTCAGAAGCCTGAATCGGGGAATTGCAAGCCGGGGGAGAAAGGGGCCGATTAGACGATCTAGGGTTTGAGACCACTGCGTGAG